TTATGGATCTTGCATTCTAGTGGGAGAGGCATACAGTAAATACATTATTATATAAACAAACTACACCAGATGGTGATAAAAATATGAAGTAGGGAAAGGAGATGTGGAGGTTAACGTATAGACAGAGTGGTCCTGGAAGGCCTTACTGAGAAGAAATTTAAGAAAAGACCTGAAGGAAGTGAGAGATTGAGCTATAAGATGCCTAGGGAAGAACACTGTAGAAAAATGCTCCATGGCAAATGTGAAATAGAACATGCAAGGAACAGTGAGAAGGCCAGTGTGGTGCCAGGGGCATGAATCAGAGGCAGAACAGAGGAGGTGTCATCAGGGAATGGGGAAGAGCTCATTGAGGCCTTGGAGGCCATGATAAGGACCAGACTTTTCCTCTGGGAAGTCATTTGAGGGTTTGGAGTGGAAGGGTAGCATGTAGCTTAGTTTTCAATGAGTTTACTCTGTAGCTGGGGAAGGAAGGAGATGAGATTGGGAGCAGAGACCAGGCAGGGGGCTACTGCAGTACTCCAGGCAGCTGCTGAGGTGGTTTGGACCATGGTGGGGGCAGTGGAGTGGTTAAGGAATGCATAATTCTGGGTATTTTTGAAGATAGGATTTGTCAATGGATTGGCAATGGGGAGCAAGAGAAAGAGAAGAGCCAAGGATGAGGTGAAGCCTTGAGATTTGAATAGTTGGTGAGATGAATTGCCATTAACTGAGGTGGGGAAGACTTTGGGAGTAGCAGAACCATCAGAAGCTAGTTTTGGACCCATTAAATTGAGACCAACAGACTTTCAGGAGGATATGGGGGCAGAGGTGTACAGTGAAGGTATAAATTTGAGAGTCATCAGCATATAAATGGTATTCAAACCCCAGAGGCTGGATGAATGTGTATTGTTAGAAAATCAAAGTGGTCCCAGCACTGAGTCCTGGGGCACACTAGCCTTTAGGAACTGGGGGTTGCTCAGAAGAGATCAGCAAAGGAGCCTGAATGGAATTTATAGAAAAGCAGGCAGAAAACTCTGTCATTGTGGTTTCCTGGAAGCCTAGTGAAGAGAGAATTTCAAGTATGAGACAATGGTCTGCGTCTCATGCTGCTGTTAAGATCAAATAAATTGAGGACTGAGACTTGACTGTAGGAATTTTACAATGTAGACGTTATTGTCAATGATCTTAAAAGTGGAGCATTAGGAGTAAAAGTTGCTAGAATTTGTGCAAGAACAAAATGAGAAGAGAGGGATTAGAGACAGCAAGTACAGAGGGATCTCTCAAGAATTGTGCTGTGAAGGGAAGGTGAGAAATGGGGCATTTGTGAAGGGCTTGGCTGGGTGAATCAGGCTGTTCTTAGAGAAGCAGAAGCAAAACTCTATGGGTCTATGAGTGAACAAGTCTATGGGTCAATGAGTGGCCACATTTACATTTTAGCAGGACTACTCTGGCTACTGGGTTGAGATAAGACTGAAGGAGCATCCTCTCATTCTAACCCATCGGTGGTGGCCACAGTTCATGTACTCTTGTCATGTGCCAACTAGCAGATCATACCAGATACATGCATGGGTGAGTCAGCCGGAAGCTATGTCATCAAGGTGGGAAGCAGAGCTAGAGCTTACGAAGGCTGGGAGTAAGGGGTGTCCTTGGGAGCACGGTAGGTACCACGGTTGGAACTACGCTGTTGGATCCCTGCCAGGAATTCATTTCACAAAACTGACCCTGACACCTTAGGAAGCAGAAGTGGTATGAAGACAAGGCTGGCTCTGGCACCCTGAGCCCTCTCTTTCAAAATGCGAGATCCAGTGCGTTCAGGGTGGTGTGGCCGTAGACATGAGCCCTCTCTTTCAAATTAAGCATTAACTCTCATTTTCTGTACACCCACGAGATGGAAGAGTCACAGTTTATTCCTAAGGGGTGGAGAGCAGGGGGAATGGGATGGGATGGTTGCTTTAGTCCTACCATAGAGCGGAAAAGATAATATGTGGAGAAAAATATCAGACCAGTGAAAACCGTGCAGCTGTCAGCTTTCAGCTCTCTGGTTTCATTTCATTCATTAGCGGCCAAGTTAAGGGAATTATTTTATTAGGACACATTTTATTTGGAATTCCCCTGGGCAATTTGCTCTACCCTCTTACTGTAATGGTCTCTAAGTAGCTCAGTCTCTAGACAGTACAGTTTTTGTAGTTCTATTTTTAGTTTTTTGAGGAACCTCCATACTGTTCTCAATAATGGCTGCACCAAGTTAATGTTTCCACTGCACTGCACAAGGGTTCTCCTTTCTCCACATTCTCACCAACACTTTTTTATCTTTTGTCTTTTTGATGATAGCCATCCTGACAGGTGTGAGGTGCTATCTCATTGTGGTTTTGATTTGCATTTCCCTGATGATTAGTGATGTTGAGCATCTTTTCATGTGCCTATTGGCCATTTGTGTGTCCTTTTTGGAAAAATGTCTATTCAAGTTCTCTGTCCAGAGATAGAGCTGTTTGGCTCTATCAGAAACCTCTTTGGAAGGCTTTTCTTGGCTCCCTTAACCAACTGACCTCACTAGAGCTTCCCTCTGTGTAAACTGCTGTTCTGACTTCCTCTCAAGGAAGGGTACTTTGGGGAAGACCAGAGGCTCTGCGTTCCTTGTTTTGCTGCCGTGCCCGTGCCCGTGAAACTTGGCGTATAAATGAAGCTTTGAGAGAGTTTGGCTATTCCTGGGTTGAGATGGAGATCTCTGATGTTCTCTGAAAGGGGCTCAGGGTGAGCTTGTGCCCTGGGATTGGGTCATGTGACAGAGGATGAGGTAGAGAAGAATGAATGGAAATAATTCAAGGAAGCAGAATTTCCTTTGATAGATAACGTGAATAAGCAAATACATAAAGCATATTGTGATGAGAAACGTGGATACCACATTATCAAGAAAACACTGGAGAATGCCACTGAATCACAGGGAGTCTCAAATTCTAACCAAAGCCCTCCTTCTTCCCACGTTGCTCCCCCACGACTTCTCTGAGGGCTGTGATCCCCCCCATGCCCATTATTGTTGCTTTTGAATCAGCTCCCTGGGGCCCTAGAAGGATGGGGACAGGGAGAGGGGCTGGGTGGGCTCCTCTGTCCACCCTGGGTTAGGGGACTGGAGCACAGATGGGGATCCAGCCACCACTGGCAATGTGAAAGCTGTCCTCATGGAACCCCTTCCTAGTAAACAGATTTGAAAATGAATCAACACGGCTAGATTAAATTCTCAATTGAAGACTTGCATAACGCTGGTGTGTCATTTTAGAATTTGCTCTTGCTATGCAGACAGTCAGTGAAGTACAGTGCGCTGAGCTGTCCTTTCTCCACACAGGGGTGCTTCCCAGTCTGTGCCCCGCGGTCAGGAGCTGGGGTTACACGTTACTTGCACTGGTGCACATGTGTTTTTTGGTACTTGTCCTTACATCGTTTTGGCCTCACTGCCATAATGTTGAAAGGCAAAGTCTACAGTTTCTGTTTCTTTGGCACTTTTAACCCCAGGAGAGATACATTAGTTTTGCATCCAGAGTGCTGAATAAATGTTGTTGAATTAAAATTGTTAACCTCTGGGTTACAGTTTATGTAGAATGAAAGATGAATTATGCAGAGTCAGTTGCTAATCTGATTTCTTCATACTAGAAAACTTACATATATAGATAATTTAATTAGAATAATGCTTTGTATTTAGTGCATAAGTTCTATTCACCTTTTTTTTTAAAGTTGTTTGTTTAATGGAGGTACTGGGGACTGAACCCAGAACCATGCATGCTAAGCATGCACTCTACCACTGAGCTATACCCTCTCCCTGCCTCTTTTATTAAATTGCTAAGCACCCTCAGTGTATTGCCACATAGGCAAACTTCTTAGAATAGATCAGAAAATGTAAAATAATTCAACTCTGTTGCCTCCCCCAGATTTGGGACCCTGTGATGTACATACCTGGTTCTGTGGACAGTCTAGTCCCATCCCCGTCCCAGAGACACACACAAGTGACTAACACCCACGATGGAATCAAGAAGAGGCCCCCTGTAGAGAAGCACAGACAAAAGTGCCTTGGGGTTCACAGGACGGAGTAAGGACATCAGCTGGGGGAGTCAGGCTTTGTGGTGGAGATGGTGTGAAGAATGGGCTTTGAAGGATGGTTAGATTTTTATTAGCTCCAGGTTGGGGAAAGTCATTCCAGCCAGGTGAAGGTAGGAACCCCTGAAAAGGTGTGGGTGTTAGGAAACTATGCCTAAGAGTACAGGTAAACACAGGGATACAATATCCCCTAGTCCAATTGGAAACAGGGGTTTTAAAGTAGGGCTAAGCTAGGAGAAAAATGATCATTTTAATAGTAATAGCCAGCAAATGTGGGCCACCTTCTTCTCCGATGCCAACCGTTGTCAGAGTGCTCTGTATACGAAGTCTCTTCTCATCTGGAAAAGGTCAGGTCTATTTTTGTTGAAGAGTTTTTCATAAAAGAGCAATATTATCAGAGCTATAATTAAGCAGACTCATAGGGAGATGAGGCACAGGGAAAGACAAGGCAGAAAGATCACTCAAGAGTCCATCTGTATGTTCCCTGCAAGAAGTAATGAAGACCTGAGTTACTCCAGCATGAATGTAAGTGAAAATGCAAAATTGGGTTGGTTTGAATCAGAAGTCATTTTAAAATTTATATTGCAGTTTCTGCTAAAAATTGATTTTCCCACTCAAGACCCTTCAGTGGAATCTTGAAGACCTAGGCGGCCTATTTTCCATCCTAGATTCCTCCAGAGCGATATGGAAACCAAGCTTCAGTGAGGCTGGTGTCTCTCAGTGTTACCTGAGACAGGAACCCGGCGGCACACAGATTCCTTTGTCTCCCTCATCCCCTACATGTGAGCTTTTCCCCCGATGACTGATGGGTCAAGATTACCTCATAGGATGGCTGATGTCCTCTCCCATTTCATGAGTCAAAAAGCACAGATTCCCTGAGTATTTCAGTTTTAAACTGCCAGGAAATACTAACCCCAGCATTAACTGTCTTGCAGATTCCATTGTGATTGGATTTTGGGTTGGTCTCGCGGTCTTCGTGATTTTCATGTTTTTTGTGCTGACCTTGCTGACCAAGACTGGAGCCCCACACCAAGAGTAAGCTGTTCCTAAATGTTTGTTAAACCCCACAGGGACCTGAAGAAGCAGAAATAGTATCCAGGGCTGGGGTTGCTTCCAGTAGGTGGAGAGATGCGGCTGGTTAAGGATTTGCTGTCTGGACCTGGGTGCTGGTAGGTAGGATCTGCCTTCCTCCTGGTACTTTGCCTCTTGCCTCGGGGGCTCGTTTTCAAGTAAACCCCTGTGTATCTGGGTTTCTTTGTTCTTTTCTGTTCTTTCCTTAATGCTGATTTAGGCTTGATTTTTATTTTGAAAGGTTTATTAATTAGGATGTATTTTCTCTGTATGCCAAAAGAATTTAGATGACTCATGAGACTGAAAACAATGAAAAAAGACAATAGTAAAAATAGAATTGAAAACTAGTTTTAAAAAGCATTTCAAGGAGCTGGGAAATAGTTGTTACTGAATTAATTAATTGCTAAATTAATTATTGACAATAATCACTGAGTTCAACACATTTCTTGAAACAATTTAAAAGTGGAAACACTGGGATTATGTAATTCTCAAGGCATGTAAAGCACATTTGTGTCGGGCATTGGATTAATGGAAGGAACGATTACCTAGATGCTTAAAGAACACTGAGTGACATCAAAACATATTTGGTCAGTTTTGTTTTGCAAAAAATTCAGAAAGTTTTTAGAGGATTTAAAAACATGTATGTATTTTTATTTAAGTATAGTATAGTTGATTTACAATGTTATGTTGGTTTCAGGTGTACAGCAAAGTGATTTGGTTTTACACATATGTATGAATATATTCTTTTTCAGATTCTTTTCCATTATAGGTTATTACAAAATATTGAATATAGTTTCCTGTGCTATACAGTAGGTCCTTATTGTTTATCTATTTTATAAATAGTAGTTTGTATATGTTAATCCCAAACTCCTAATTTATCCCTTCCGTTTTTTTCCATTTGGTAATCATCAGTTTGTTTTCTGTGTCTGTGAGTCTATTTCTAGTTTGTAAATAAGTTCATTTGTATCATTTTTTTGGATTCCACATGTAAGTGGTATCATATAATATTTGTCTTTCTCTGTCTGACTTTTCACTTAATATGATAATCTCTAGATCCATCCATGTTGCTGCAAATGGCATTTCATTCTTTTTATGGCTGAGTAATATTCCATTGTGTGTGTGTGTGTGTGTGTGTGTGTGTGTGTGTATCACATCTTCTTTATCCAGTCATCTGTTGATGGATGCATAGGTTGCTTTCATGTCTTGGCTGTTGTAAATAGTGTTGCTATGAACACTGTATCTTTTCAAACTAGAGTTTTCTCCGGGTACATGTCCAGGAGTAGGGTTGCTGGATCATATGGTAACTCTACTTTTAGTTTTTTGAGGATCCTCTACACTGTTCTTAATAGTGGCTGCACAAATTTACATTCCCACCAACAGTGTAGGAGCGTTCCCTTTTCTCTATACCTAGAGGATTTTTTTTATCCCAGCTCTTCCCAAAAAGGGAAAAATAATGTGTGTTGGATACCTTACCAGTCAGTCTCAGCAGGCAACATGTAGCACACCCAAACTAGGTAATTAGGAGAGCTTTTGATAAAGGGACTATTCACAAGTTGTGGTCAGGGAAGGGGACAACCCCCCAGGATAGTACAGGTCGCCAGGGTGCAGATCACTGAAGAGTAAGTACCACCCTAGGTCTGAAGGGGGCCCTGATTGGCACCCAGGAATCCTGCAGGGACTGGCTGAGAGAGTGATCTCAGTCACCTAGGTTAAGGGCACAGCTAGCCCAATGTGACCTCTCAGAGAGGGGAGACTCAAATAAATACCCAGACCTTACTTCCCTCTCTCCTTCCCGTTTCTGACCGTTGCTCGCTGCTGGCTGAACATCACAACACAACCAGTAGCCAGAAACTCCACCAAAGGTCAGTTTCCCGGAGCACAGAGCAGGGGATGGGGAAGGGTAGAGGGTGACCAGGGGAGTAAATGGAAGACATTTAGCATAAATCCCAACATTTACGTTCAGGACCTCCCTTAATCCTCACGGCCTGGCAGCAACGTTCTCCTTGTATCTCGTCATACAGTCTGTAGCGTCTGCTGTTCAGTCTTCAGCCTGCACTTGAACTGTAACAGCTAGTTAGAGGTAAAGGGAACACTTCTGCCCATCACTCAGCTATGTGCAGACGTTAAAGTCTGTGAAAAAATTAAACATTTTAAATGAAAGGGAAATACCATTTTATTGAAGCATCTGAAGATGTATAGCTGAGAATCTCCTTAATAGCCACTAAAAAAATATGAACTTTCCCTTTTCTCCCTCCTTGTCCTCATAAACATCTACACTTGCCTTTGCATCATTGTGTTGGTCCAGGGAATTGAAAACTATGGTATGGATTACAGCAGTAGTAAGAGAAGCCAAGGACAAACTCAGATTAGCACACATCTTGTAGAGTGGTCAGGGGACGATAACTCCCTTAGCTTCCTTCTCCTTAGAGGGACAGATGGATGTTTGTGGGGTTGTTGAGGTGTATTTATTTGATGTAGGATGCAGGTGATTTTACCCATGGTAACACCCTAGCCCCAACTAGAACATGACTTCCTGTAATGACGAATGTTATTTGTCAACTTGTCTGGGCCATGGTATCCAGATATTTGGTCAAACATTACTTTAGATGTTTCTGTGAAGGTTTTTCTTTAGATGTGATAGCTTTTCTTAGTAAAGCTGATTATCCTCCATAATGTAGGTGGGCCCCACCCAAGCAGTGGAAGGCCTTCCTAGAAATAGAATGACCACCCTCGAGCAAAATTCTGGCAGAGACTGTAACTCTTTCCTGGGTCTCCATCCTGCCAGCCTACTCTATGGATTTTGGACTTGTCAGCCTCCACCATCACATGAACCATTTCCTTAAAATAAATGTGTCTCTCTCTGCTGACCCATCCTGGATGGATGGCTGAATGGGTGGATGGGTGGATGTATGGGTGGGTGGATAGGTAGAAAAATAGATAGATTTAGAAACACACACACACACACACACCCTGCTGGTTCTGTTTCTCTGGAGAACACTGACTAATACTTTTCCTTAGCATTTCACGTTGACCCTGGGTAGCTGAGACCACCTTTCCAGTCTTCCAACTGGCAGTTCATCCTTCTAATAGACGGTTTCTCTTTTGATGGAAATTCTGAGTCATCTCAAAGAACAGGGGTCATTGTAACTCTACGTGCTCTTAATGAGGTTAAGGAGAAAGTCTAACCTTTTTTCACTTTTAATAAAATAATGGATCAATCCTCAGGGTCACACTTTAAATGCTTTTTTGAGTCTGAGGCAGTGTAAGACATGGCATTTGGCGGCAGTATATCATAATCAAACTGAAAGAAACAGACATGTGGAAAAATCCCCAAATGGATCAGTTTTAAAAGGCTTTTAGATTTAGTAAACTTGGCATTTATTTGGCAAGAATTTTTACTAAAATAGACATTATTTTTTCCATTCAGCCAACTTTGTTATAAAACAATCAATCAATTTTACGTTTGCCTGTGATAATTGAGGAAAGCATGGAGGAAAGCATGATACATCATTGAGAATAACACTAAGAACATTTTTTTTAATGTTTACCATCGCCAGAGTCTGCTAATCACTTTATACATTCTCACTAAGTCCACACAGAAAGATGAAGTAAATCCTCTAAGTGTTCCCACTTTACAGATGAGGAAAATGAGGCTGAATCACTCATAGGAGGATTCACAGGTTAAAAAAAACAAACCTGTGGAGCCAGACCTTAAACTAAAGCCTCTTTGACTCTGAAGCTCCTGTTAACGCTGCATTTAATTATCTCATATGAGTCATTTGTAATCTCCCCCTTCTACTGAGTCAAAGATACTAGCAGGCAATCACAGTTGTTCTCTTTTATCACGTATTGGATCAAGCAGGGCCCTGGAGTCAAACATTTCCAGATTTGGGCTGGATTCTTAACCTCTCTGTGCTTGAGATTTCTCCTTTGTGAAAATAAAACTGTCTGCCTCCCTAGGATTATTCTAAAGGTGAAGTGAGCTGATGCCGGCGGGGCTGCTGGTGCGCGCTGGGCTCGCAGAGGGCGGCACTCAGTGCGGACGAGTCCGGCTGCGGCTGGTGGCGTCCTGGTGGGAGCTGAGGGGTGCAGGTAAAGGGCAGGAGGGAGAAGAAGAAACCCATCCCCTCACGGGACAGCCAGGCCCTAAGCATTCATGTTGAGCTACACGTGCCAAAATGTGGCCTCACTCTACACTGTCTTCCCCTTGGGGGTGTCTCTCAGTGAAACAGATGGTTTTAGAAAGGAAGTTACGTAGAAGATGTTGGTGATGGGTTGGAAGGACCGACATGTCTGAGTTCTGACTGCTTTATATAAGGGGCCCTCGGGGGTGGTTCGTCACGGAGAACGGTTACTTCCTCAAGTGGGGTATCGGGCAGCACCCTTTTGGAATATGACTCCAACATTCTGGTTAAGATACCCGATCAAGCCTGTGAGCTCAGAGTGGACTAGTGCTAACCCTGCCACCGAGGGCTGTCTCTTTCTCCATGGAGGCATCCGGGCAGGCTGGACATCTCCCCAGCATCCGGTCATTGCCGACCGTGGAAGGAGTGCGTGCATCCCCTTGAAAGTAGTGAGACCAAGGATGGCAGACAGGCTGCTTCCCTGAAGTTTTCAACTTGGGATCGTATTAGCTTAAGAACTTCAGTTCTGGAGTCACTGACTCCTCAGAGGCTTCTGTGAAGGAGAGGATGTGTCATGGTCAGGCTAGGTTGTGAGACAGCACCAAACAGCTCCCCAAATCTCAGTATAATGTAACACGGGCTTGTTTCTGGCTCAAGCTACACATCTTCCGAAGGTCAGCAAGGGGTGGGCAGAAGCTTCTCCGCTGTGGCTGCAGTGTCTCCAACGCATAGCCTCCCGGGGTACTGTGGCGGGGAAGGGAGCACACCGAGACCTCACACCTGCCCTTCTGTTCTTAAGCCTGTAAGTGGCGCACGTGCCTTCCCCTCCAGCTCCTTGGC